GTACACTGTTATCGAAAATCTGTTCCGACCCGTCAAGCAGGGTGAAATTAACCCTTAAACTACAAAATAAATAATTATCCTATGAAGACGATTAAATCCTAACTTGGTTTTAAATATAAAAAAATCATAAATACGCTCACCAAAGTACACTGTTAACGAAAATCCCTGCCAACCCGTCAAGCAGGGTAAAATTAACCCTTAAACATTAAAATAAATAATTACCCTATATTAAATCCCAACTTGGTTTTAAATTTAAAAAATCATAAATACACTCACCAAATTACACTATTAGCAAAAATCCCTTCCGACCCGTCAAGCAGGGTAAAATTAACCCTTAAACTACAAAATAAATAATTACCCTATGAAGACGATTAGATCCCAACTTGGTTTAAAATTTAAAAAATCATAAATACACTCACCAAAGTACACTGTTAGCGAAAATCCCTTCCGACTTGTCAAGCAGGGTAAAATTAACCCTTAAACTTCAAAATTAATATTTACCCTATGAAGACGATTAGATCCCAACTAGGTTTTAAATTCAAAAAATCATAAATACACTCACCAAAGTACACTGTTATCGAAAATCCCTTCCGACCCGTCAAGCAGGGTGAAATTAAAAAATTTTGCTAACAGTGTATTTTGGTGAGTGTATTTATGAATTTTTAAATTTAAAACGAAGTTGGGATCGAATCGTCTTCATAGGGTAATTATTTATTTTGTAGTTTAAGGGTTAATTTCACCCTGCTTAACGGGTCGGAAGGGATTTTTGCTAACAGTGTACTTTGGTGAGTGTATTTATGATTTTTTAGATTTAAAACAAAGTTGAGATCTATTCGTCTTCATAGGGTAATTATTTATTTTGAAGTTTAAGGGTTAATTTCACCCTGTTTGACGGGTCGGAAGGGATTTTTGCTAACAGTGCACTTTGGTGAGCGTATTTATGATTTTTTACATTTAAAACGAAGTTGGGATCGAATCGTCTTCATAGGGTAATTATTTATTTTGTAGTTTAAGGGTTAATTTCACCCTGCTTAACGGGTGTGAAGGGATTTTTGCTAACAGTGTACTTTGGTGAGTGTATTTATGATTTTTTAGATTTAAAACAAAGTTGAGATCTATTCGTCTTCATAGGGTAATTATTTATTTTGAAGTTTAAGGGTTAATTTCACCCTGCTTGACGGGTCGGAAGGGATTTTTGCTAACAGTGTACTTTGGTAAGTGTTTTTATGATTTTTTAAATTTAAAACCAAGTTGGGATCTAATCGTCTTCATAGAGTAATTATTTATTTTGAAGTTTAAGGGTTAATTTCACCCTGTTTGACGGGTCGGAAGGGATTTTTGCTAACAGTGTACTTTGGTGAGTGTATTTATGATTTTTTATATTGAAAACGAAGTTGGGATCTAATCGTCTTCATAGGGTAATTATTTATTTTGAAGGGTTAAATTCACAAGATAATTATTTTATGAAGTTTATGGGTTAATTTTACCCTGTTCAATGGATCCGAAGAAATGTTTACATATAGCGTATGTTAGTGTATTTATTTTTTTAATGTAAAATTAAATTGCGATCTGATTTCCTTTGTCGGATAAATACTTTTATCAATTTTAAGGGTTATTTTTAACCGTATATTAATTTTTTGTCAATATTAATGTCTAAAATACATATTAACAAGATTATTAAAATAGTTGTATGTTGGACGCCACTGTTTTCCCGATCGGGTGTTTTCGGTTATTTTTACTGCTAAAAGTTACTGCTAACTTCACACCGGTAGTTTTCTGGGAGATTTTCTAGATACATTTCTAAATCAGAATTAAATTCTACCGGGTTAGAGGTACGTGACCTGTGTAGTACTGTAACTAGAAACGTTGCTACACTGTACTTTCAGTAATAAGTATAAATATTTTAAATTGCATAAAAATAATCAGAAAACTAGAAACTACTTTGATATTTGAAAAATCTCTTTTTAAATAATTTTAGGTACCCCATTTTTTTATTGTAATAAAATAAAAATATAGTCGAAATATTAGGTATTTTGAAAATAATTTTAATATGTATCTTAAATAGTTTTTCATTTAATTCATACAGTTTTGAGGCCCTAGATAAAGCTCTCGAACCTAAAACAATTTACTTTCAATTTTAAGAAATTGTATGTATACATATTTTTATTGCTTGCACACAGACATGAAAAATATCTAAAGCAGGATACAAATATTTAGGGTTTTATTAATTTAATTAATTTTTTTTAATTTATTTATTTACTGTTATTTAAATTATAAACAAACAATATTAATATTATTATGTATTATTGAGTAGAACATAAAAATATAATTCCGAGTTTTTCAATTTCAGCAATATCGACAATTTTGATCTATCCAAAGTTTTCTACGAACAAAAACGAATGAAGGAAATGAAATGTAACCCATTTCACAAGAACTACCTAAGGTAATATTTGCGAGTAAAAGGTTTCTTCCCACTTGCCAATTTCCCATTTGAAACTATTCGCTTTGAGAGCTCCTATCGATTCTTATCTGCCGCCTTCTTTGAAAACCTTTTTCTATTTATTACTTTATTTTGCTGACCTCTCCAATTTTTTGATGCTAACAAAACGCGACGTCGCTCGACTTTGTCAAAATTTGTCTTGTCGTTTCTGTTGGGAAACTCTATAATAACAACAATTTTATTTCTATTTATGTCGAAACTGTCAATAAAGGTTTTTATTTTTTTAAGAAAATATGCATCCGTTTAATGAGGCATTTAGAAAAAATTGGTATTAAAAACTGTTATTGATTTCATCATTCCCAACATAGTATTACAAAATTGCCAATTATTTTCGCTTCCTTCTCGTAATGTGTAGCTAGTTTAGTTTGTTCTAGTTGGCAGTTGGACTGTTTTATCTCACGTTTGTCGACGTTTTTAATTTCAGTTTCAAACTGACACTCATATATACATGAAGTTTATGTCCCTTGATTTATTAGAGAACGTAATGATATTAAAAATATTTTATATGCCCAATTTTATTGCCCAATCTATGTAGTGAAAATTCCTTCAAGTTTGTCCAAATAAATACAGGGCGTCACAATATTCGACCGACAATGCTTTACTTCAAGAAGAAGAACCATTAAAAGGCTAAGTTACCGAGATACAAGGTGTCGAAAGTTTGAAATTTAAAATCAGAATTTACCATATATTCTTTAAATATTTTTTAAAATTTGGTGACCAATGTGCATTTTAAGAAAGTAATACTTTAACATAAACTAACTTTTAAAAAATTTAACTGATAACAGCAACTTTCATTTCTTATTTTTTATACCAGTGGCACTGGAACAAATATTTTTTTATTTTCAAAATCGCTGTTTATTTTTAGTTGTTATAATTTTTTAAGGAGCTAAAATTAACGGTTTTGTAGAAATTTGCTTCTAAACAAAAGTCTGTATGTATCTAGATCATTTGTAACGACTCAATATTTCTAAATTCTAATCTATATAGTAGGTAGGTTTTTTAGCCCCAAACTAATTTTCAATATAATTTCAGTTTTGAGAAGTCAAGAATGTTTTAGAAATTTTCAAAAAACCAACCTTTCTCCTGAGTAATGTGCCTTTTATGTTGCAAATATGACCAACCATATATTATAAAAAAAGTTGTTTTAAATCACCGTCTAGGTCCATATACCAAATTTAAAAATTCTCAGCTAACTACGATTTTTCATTTATTTTGTCAAGCTAGTAGCTTTTCGGTAACAGATACGTCAAAAAAATTGTTGAGTAAATTTGCTTGAAATCAAAATATAAGTCCCAATCCCAAATTTAAGAATTTTTTTTTTTTTAGTATGAATTGCAGCTTATATTTAATTTCAGACTCTACTAAACCTTTTTTCAAAACGTTTTCAAAAATCTGTAAAACTTCTTGTATATTGATATGATATTTTATTTCAAAATAAGAAGTTATATATATTTTGGGTTTTCACATTTATAAAAATTTTAATCAATGTTTCATGGGTAAGGTCGGTCCTGAAAATTGCAATGAAAAGAAAATCAGGACATCGATTTGTCATAAGAATTTGAGGGTTGTCAAAAAATTTTTAAAAAGATTGGGAGATTAGAAATTTTGAAGGAAAAGGTAGTTGGAATTTGTATGAAAAGAAAAGGAATATTGATGTGATTGAAATGATGGGATAATACTAGAAGTTGAAATAAAAAGATTTAAAAGTAAAAGGTAAAGAAATTTTTATTAAAAAAAAAAAATCAACGAAGTGAGAGCAGATTTGGCAGGAGGGTAGTTTGTAAAAAGCATAAGTAGAGACAATAGAGAGGAGTAGGAGCAGGTAAATACAAACAGACAGGAAGAGACAGGTGCAGGCTAGGGACAGTTGGACACGGAGAACGGACAGAGACGATAGCACATAGACAGAGATTTTTAAGTGAAAGAAGAAAGAACATATTATTTAATATAATTGTTAAATTAATATTTTGTTTTAAATTTTTTAGTTTCAAAATTCAATATTGTGAACCCATGGAACATTGAAATTGGTTAGATTAAGGTGTAGGTAAGAATTTTCTGTGTGCTGAAATCCAAATTGCTATCCTTGTTTGTGGGAACCCACGGACCCTGGGATTTTAAAATTATATTGGGAAAATAAAGGGTGAGTTAATTTTTTTATATTACAAATTGATTTTCATAACATTGTTTTTTTTAAATTCTATAACAAATAAGATTTTTCATATCAAATGTCGCTAACCAACGTGGGGCTGTCAAATTGACAGGTTGTCACTGTCAGATTGACAGTTGTAGAAACATTTCTAATTATCAAATTTATTAATTTTTTTTTAATTTGGTAGATTATTGGAATTATTTGGATAGATAATTAATTTTTATATATTTTTAAAAGACAATATTATTAAAATAAAAGCATTGGCGTACAATAAAAGGTAACATATTTAATTGTATTGAATTTATATACATTAAATTTAAAATTTTTATAAATAAATAAAAAAAATTTTGAATGGACCTAAAAGGTGAAAAAAGAATCAATGTAAAAGATGAAGACGATGAAGAAATTAGAAAAATAGGACAAGGTGATATGGAAGAAATGGAAATGCAGGATTTAGAAAAAACAGTAATCGAAAAAAGTAATAGTGAAGAAAAAGTAAAGAAAGAAGATGAAATAATAGGCATGTTTGCTATAATGATAAAAAAAATCTGATGTGTCCAACACATGACTTTCCTATCTAGTTATTACAGGCTTCTTCCGGTTATTTTGTACAACCTATTGCAGCATCTCTATAAATGTTTAGAGGATAAACTAAATATATACATTGTCCACATACATCTACCTCGAAACATTTTTCTATAGATATTCATTGAAAATGAAAATACTGAAAAATTTAAATTTAGCACTTTTCCTACAATTTTTCCATTACGGTCCATTTTAAAAAAATCATGTATGAACAAATATTATAGAGATCGATATCGCAAACAACTTTTATTTCAACAATTTTCATAAAAATCAGAATTTTGCACATTTTGTCAAATTTTTCGAATACGGACCATTTCAGGAAATTTTTACATAAAGCAAAAATTATAGATAATAATATTAGAAGTAACTTTTATTTGAACAATTTTTTTCTCCAAACATAAATAACAGATATATTCCCTAAAATATAAAAACGGCCTCCCATAAAGTACCCCCTCAGATGTTCCGACTTTGTCCAAAATCTAATCATTTCACGTCAGGCCGAAATAAAACTTAAGTTTAAAATTTAATGTTTTTTTCTTTATCCGTTTTTGAGTTTCGAGGTCGAAAAAAATCATGATTCCTATACTTTTCTTATATCTGTATACAGATAGGAAAGTAAAAATGGACGAAAATAGAGAAGAAATGAATAAAAATAGGGAAGAAATAAATAATAAAATGGATGAAAATAGGGAAAAAATTAATAAAAAAATGGACGAAAATAGAGAAGGATTGAATAGAAATAGAGAAGAACTTATAAAGAAAATGGAGAGAATGGAGAAAAACATAAAACAGGATATGAAAAGCGAATTAGAGAAAGTAGAAAAGAAATTGGAAATAGCAGTGAAAGAAATGGAAGAGTCAAAATTACTGATAGAAAATAGGATAGAAGAAACTAGAGAAGAAATAAGAATAGAAATGATTGGAAGAATAATAGAAGTAGAAGATTTACAAGAACAAAAAATTAAAAAAATAATAGAGACAGAAATAAAGAAAGTCGAACAAAAAATTGAAGAAAAAGATTGTAGTCAAGAAATAGAAGAGATAGGAATAGAAATTGAAGAAGTATGTATAAATAAACAAAATAACGGAAAAACAAAAATTGAAGAATTAAAGAAGAAATCGAGTTAGAAAAAGGAAATTAGTAAAATAATCAAAGAAGATAATAGAAGGCACAAGGAAGGTAAAATGAAAATAAATGTAGAAGGATTATTAAAGAAAGAAATAATTAAAAAGATAAAGAAATATAAGAAACAAAACATAATAAGGAATAAGAAATCTAAAAGCATAAACAATAAATTCAGTGCTAAACAAAAAAGTAAAAATGTATGGAAGAGGAAAATTAAAAATAGAAGATTATCGGAGAAAGAGTAAGGACAAAAGTCAAAGAAAAGAAATAAATTTAAATAGACGGACGGAAAAACTTGAAAATCAAAATAAGGTTAGAATATGGTAAACGAATTGGAAATAGGAAATATTATATTGAATATAGGATATTTTAACAGCTCACTAAAGAAGTAATATAAAGAATATTTAGCAAACAAAATTTAAAAATAAAAATAGGAGACTGATTAGAGATATTTAAAATAAAAGAGAAATAATGTATTCCAATGAAGAACAAATAGATTAAAGAAGAATAGAATATAAATAAAAGAGAAATGTATTCAAATAAAGAAGAAATAGAATATTAAAGAAGAATAGAATATAAAGAAAAAAAATGTGTTCAAGAAGAGATTATTTAAAAGAAAGGAATTGATAGAGTATAAAGTAAAAAGGTGATGAAAGAAAATGGTTTAAGTAAAAGGAGAATAAATGAAATATGTGTATTGTGAAATAGGTGTAATATGAAATATGTGTATTATGAAATATGTGAATTATGAAATATATTATGTATAAAGATAAGTTGATGATTTATAATAAATATTATTAGGAAATATTAAATAGAATTATAAAGAGAAATAGTGTGAAGAATGTATGAAATTGGATTGAAAGTAATTAATTGTAAATAGAGCGGATTATGAATATAAAGAGGACAGGAACAGAGGAAATTTTGAACAAACTATTAAAAGAAATGATATAATTTGAATACAAATATAAAAAATTGGGATACAGTTGGTATGAAAAGTGAGTTTTCTTATGAATTAAGTTAGTCATTTTATTTCATTATATAGTTGTAGTTAAAAATTTTGGAACATAGTTAATTTGTTAGAGTTTTAAAATTGAGTTAATTTGTTTCCATTAATTGGTTTATTGATGTTAAATATTTTGAATTGTTTTTGATAGTTATTGGAATTTAGACAGATAGCAATGATTTGGATTGAGTAAGGAAGGAAAATTTGTTTTGGTTAAAATTTTTTTAACAATTTGGAAATTTCATATTTCAAAATTTATTATAGAAATAAATTTATGAAAAACGAAATTTGGGGGATTTTTGATATGATATTTTATTTCAAAAGAAGTTATATATATATTTTGGGTTTTCACATTTATAAAAATTTTAATCAATGTTTCATGGGTAAGGTCGGTCCTGAAAATTGAAATGAAAAGAAAATCAGGACATCGATTTGTCATAAGAATTTGAGGGTTGTCAAAAAAATTTTAAAAAGATTGGGAGATTAGAAATTTTGAAGGAAAAGGTAGTTGGAATTTGTATGAAAAGAAAAGGAATATTGATGTGATTGAAATGATGGGAAAATACTAGAAGTTGAAATAAAAAGATTTAAAAGTAAAAGGTAAAGAAATTTTTATTAAAAAAAAAAAATCAACGAAGTGAGAACAGATTTGGCAGGAGGGTAGTTTGTAAAAAGCATAAGTAGAGACAATAGAGAGGAGTAGGAGCAGGTAAATACAAACAGACAGGAAGAGACAGGTGCAGGCTAGGGACAATTGGACACGGAGAACGGACAGAGACGATAGCACATAGACAGAGATTTTTAAGTGAAAGAAGAAAGAACATTATTTAATATAATTGTTAAATTAATATTTTGTTTTAAATTTTTTAGTTTCAAAATTCAATAGTGTGAACCCATGGAACATTGAAATTGGTTAGATTAAGGTGTAGGTAAGAATTTTCTGTGTGCTGAAATCCAAATTGCTATCCTTGTTTGTGTGAACCCACGGACCCTGGGATTTTAAAATTATATTGGGAAAATAAAGGGTGAGTTAATTTTTTTATATTACAAATTGATTTTCATAACATTATTTTTTTTAAATTCTATAACAAATAAGATTTTTCATATCAATATGTTCCATAGCAATTGAAAGAATTGCGTGTGTTATTCTATTTTTTAATGTCAAAATATAGTTTGGAATGTATTCTTGGCCAAGTATTTGTTTTACTCTTCCACAAACTAAAAAATCCATTATTGTAAGGTCTGTGATCTAGCCGGCCAGGGTGTCACTCTCGTTCTTTTAAACCATCTTTAACCAAACTTACTATTTAGCCAATCGGTTATCATTTGCGTGGAATAGGCAGGGAAGCCGTCGTGTTGAAAAAAAAACAAAGTACTCAGAAAAACTTTTATTTTATTTTATAGTTCTTCCATAGACAAACAGAAATCCAATCGCCTTACTTCGCCACCTTCCTCCAAAGTGTGGCAAAATTGTATCCTCGATCTCATGAACGGATACAAAGAAAAACACTAAATTTTAAACCTAAGCCTGCAGTGAAGTGATTAGATTTTGGGTAGAGTGGAACATCTGGGGAGTACTTTATGGGTGGTCATTTTTATATTTGATAGAATATATCCGTTATTTACGTTTGGAGAAGAAAATTCTTTAAATAAAAGTTTATAACAATATTTTATATAATTTCTGTATTATACAAAATTTTCCTAAAATGGTCCGTATTCGAGAAATTTTACAAAATGTAAAAAAAAATAATTTTTATGAAAATTGTTTGATTGAAAGTTGTTTGTGATTTAATTTTATATAATTCTTATTCTATACATAATTTCTCGAGATATTTGGGGAAAAGTGTAAATTTCCAATTTTGAAGAAAACTCAAAAACGGATAAAAAAGAAAATATTAAATTTTAAATTTAGGGTTTATTCCGGCATGTGGTGAACTTATTAGATTTTGGGCAGAGTCGGAACATCTAGGGAGTACTTTATAGAGTCATTTTTAATTGTATCGGATATAACTGTTATTTACGTTTAAAAAAGAAAATTTATTAAATAAAAGTTACTTATAATATTATTCTCTATAATTTTTGCTTAATATAAAATTTTGCTAAAATGGTCCGTATTCAAGAAATTTGAGAAAAAGTGTAAATTTCGAATTTTGAATAAAACTCAAAAACGTATGAAGAAAAAACCAAAATTTTAAACTTAAGTTTTATTCCGCCCTGTGGTGAATTGATTAGATTTTGGGCAGAGTCGGAATATCTGGGGTGGGGATACTTTATGGGAGGTCGTTCTTATATTTTATGAAATATATCTGTTATTTATGTTTGGAGAAGAAAATTCATTAAATAAAAATTACTTATATTATTCTCTATAATTCTTGTTTTTTACAAAATTTTCCTGAAATGGTCCGTATTCGAGAAATTTGACAAAATGTGCAAAATTCTGTTTTTTATGAAAATTGTTAGACCAAAAGTTGTTTGCGATATCGATCTCTATGATTTTTGTTTTTACATGATTTCTGTAAAATTAAAATTGTTTAGTATTTTCGTTTTCAATGAATATATTATACAGAAAAATGTTTCGAGTTAGATGTATGTGGAAAATGTATATATTTAGTTTAGCCTCTTAAACATTTACAGAGGTGCTGCAATAGGTGGTACAAAATAACCGGAAAAGCCTATAATAACTAGAACTAGATAGGAAAGTCATATGTCATTCACATTAGATTTTTTAATTGGGCATCTATTATAAATTATTAATCATTTCAGG